GTGCCCACAGCGCTCAGTCCCTAGTAACAGGCAATTAAATCACTCTAGCCTGGGTTTCTGCTCAACTTGTCCATCCCCCAACAGCATAAAAGCTACAGGGACGGCTGGGCGGGGTGGCTCACGCCTGTAATCCCAGCACCTTGGAAGGATAAGGCAGGCGCATCACCTGAGGTTGGGAGTTCGAGACGAGCCTGACCAACAAGGAGAAACCCCATCGCTACAAAAATACAAAATTAGCTGGGCATGGTGGCGCATGCCTGTAATCTCAGCTACTTGGGAATCTGAGGCAGGAGAATTGCTTGAACCTAGGAAGCAGAGGTTGCAGTTAGCTGATTTCATGCCATTGCACTCCAGCCTGGGCAAGAGCGAAAATCTGTCTCAAAAAAAAAAAAAAAAGCTACAAGGAAAATATCAAGCTGAAGGATATTCATTCACTGAATAGCCTTTGCTGTTTTTAAGTACCCACTGTGTGTGAGAAACCATGCTAGATGCTTTATAAAAATCCGTCCCAATGTTATAGATGAAGAATCAAAACAGAATCAAGCCATGCTAATCACAACACTAGTTAATATGCATTGAGTGCTTACTACATACGAGGCATGGCTTCCAGCATTATACACGCATTAACTTAATCCTTACAATAGAGTGGTTAATACCATTCCTCTTTTGCTGATGAGCAAAGTAAGACAGAGAGATTTCTGCAAATGGTCCAAGTCAGTAGCAGGGCTGCGATCAACACCCAGGGGTCCTGGCACTGTCTTAGCACTAGGCTAGGTTGTCTCTCTGCGTGGAGAGGCTCCTCTGACCTCCTCCCAGGAGGCACATTAAGTTGAACCTGAAAGGATGAGTAGGATTTGGACATAGGAGACAAGGAGGTACAGGAAGGGCCTTTCTGATGGCAGGAACAGCACGGGCCTAGGCACAGAGCTCAGAGTTCAGCTGAGGGCATGGATCCATACAAAAGCATTTACCCAACTGAGTGAGGCCGCATGCTAATGAGTGTTCTACAAACCAAACGCCTCTTGTTCACATGTTCAGGGAACACTGGAGTAAACGTGACCCAGCTCCGGATTCTACAGTGCAGGACTCCTCAGGGTCTTTGAGGTGCTCGCATAGCTGAGTAGCCAGCAAAGCTCTGGTCTGCAGGAAGGAAGCCTGGTTATCCTGCAGCATCTCAACAGGTCAGTTTGTTGGAAATCATGTGGCTGGAAATCAGTCCTGGCAGGGAGGAAGCCCAGGCCTCACGGCAGCTTTGTGATTTTTTTTTAAGAAAACTTGGACCCACTCAACAGTTTTGAGCTGGGAGTGACATGATCTGAGTTGTGTTGACAGGCCAGAAATCTGAGCACATTTCAGAAGAGCTGGGGGGAGCCTTCCGTCAGTCCAAGACTACAAATAAGAAAATAACCTGTCGCACGGAGCCATTGGAAGCAGCAAGCGAGCGCGTGTGGGATCCGTACAACACTTTTAGACTCCCTTCCTCTCCCACACCCCCTCTCCATCTGTCGCAAAGGGCACCAGGAAGATGCAGGGAGGAATATTCCAGCTCTGGGGGCTCCAGAGCTCAGCAGCCCAGATGGGGGGCTCTTACGGAAGCCACATCACCCCTCAAGCATTAGCATTTGCGAGGACCAAGGGGCTGTCCGTGCTTCCACCCTCAGCAGGCTTTCTGAGAAATGCTTGTGCCTTGGTCAAAACCTTCTGCCCAGAGAAAGAACTCTTCCACAATCCTCCACCCAAGCCCAGAGAGAGGCTTCTCACTCCCTTCCCAGCTTGGACTAAATCATCCTGATTAAGACACTGAACTTCTTCCCTCAGAAGCCACCCAGCGAGAAGGCCAAAATCCAAAATCCTGGCTCCACTCGATCACTTATAAGTTACTTCCCCAGTTTGGGGACTCGATTTTCCACATCTGCAAAATGGGGATAAGTGCCAAGTTGTGCCTTTCGTTAAGAGATGATGCAGGTGCAGCACCCAGCCTGGAATGTCATTAACTGTTTAATGAACATTGGTTCTCATCCCTTCTCTCAACACACGGTTCACACCAGTACTTCACAGGTGCTCTGTGACTGCAAGTACAGATGTGAATGACCGTGAGTCTCCGAGGGGTTGGTAAAGGAGTAATTTCAGAAAGTACTCTGAAAACACCGTGCCTTTAAAGGACCTTCCAACAGCCTGAGCTTGACGAGCCAAAGCAGCCCCACTCCGTTTTCTCTTCTTACGAAAGAGGAAGTGAGATTAACTTTACTGCTTAGGAAAGTACAGAGGAGCCCCAGAGTGCTACCATCTACCAAAGGATCAGAGGTTCACTGGGGGACACTCCTGCTCCCCAGAACCTGAACTGCAACTTGGCTTGGTCTCCTTCAGGCCAGAGAGAAGAAATGAATGGCAGTTCATCTGAGGTCTTCCTGGGCGGGTGACTCAGAGGTCTCAAGACCTGGCTGGGGCCAAGCAGGCATCCTGCAGGTTCAACGTCAGGCCCTGCTGACACAAAATCAGGTGCCAGATGTCCCCAAGCCCCAGTCCCTTGCCCTTCTTCCAGCCTCAGAATCTCCCTCAGTGCAGTTGTTTTAGGAAACAGGCCTCACATTGGGTCCAAAAACACAGGTTGGTGACTTCACTGGTATCTTTTTAGAATTTCCCTTTGGCAGCATTTGTGCTGAAAGCAATCTTTAGAAACTTCTTCCCTTGCCTCCCCCACCCAAGATAATTCACATGATTGGCCCCCTCCCCCCACAAACAGTGATCATGTGAAGACACAGCAATCATGTGACACCTCCCAGGCTGACAGTTCTGCCTGAGACACTAGTAGTCATTCAATCCAAAGCTGCCTTCCTAAACCTGACATTTGAGTTTCTCACTTGAACAAATCCATTTTCTTAGAAAATTGGACAACTGCCTCCTTGTACCTTCCTACCCTCATATCCTGTATCTCTACTGCTTTGTTGTAAATTCCACGTCTGGAGCAATTGAGGGAGGGGCCTGAGGCCCCATGCTTCAGCCAAACCAGGTGACTTCCCTGCCCAGGCCCATGGTGTGAGCAGGACCCTGAAGAACACAGAGTGAAGGATGCTGGGAGGCTTGAGTTATGATGGTCGAACCCTGTCCCTTCTCCACCACCCTCCCCAAGAAATTCATTCTTACCTCCCAAGATTTATTGATTTCAAAGCTAATCTTGGCCCCTCTGCTGCTCCCACTTTTTCAGGCTATTGATGCTGAATGGATTGGAACGGAAGTTTTATGGCCCAATCTTTACCATTTTATAGATTGTTTTTATAGGCAAAAGGGGGAGATGTGCTCACAAGAAAGGTGTTGGTGTTCCCAGCCAGTGCCCAGGGAAAGGCAGGCTGCCCATCTGAACACTTGTTAATCAGCGTCACTGCTCATTTGCCAGGGACTGAACCACAGGCTCCTGGTCGGAGAAGGGTCTGGAATAGACATTTAGAAATTAACTCAGGCCCAATTCCCTGCTTCAGGAAAATTAAGCACTTGTGAGTGACGCTTGTGCATTTCCAGGCCAGGAAGGATGGCAGGGCAGAAACTCGGACTTTTGCAGGGTACAAATGGCCGGCTCAGGCAGGAAGGAGCAGTCAGAGATGCCACTCACTAGAGAGACATGAACTGTATCAGTGCTTCTTCCGCCCAGCAAGGACCCAACTGTAACTGAAAAGAACTGGGGGTGGGGGGTGCCTGTGTGAATTCCTGGGTTTCAGGGGAAACTGCAGGGCAGAGAGAAGCAGCTGTCCACCCCCCCTCCACCCACTCTTTGCTAGTTCTCCCTTTTCTCCCTGCTATCAGATGGTTACCATCTCTAGGCAAACGCACAAGGGGGTGTTGGACACTGAGCTCATCCCTCCCTCCCTCCCTCCTCCAGGGTGGGAGGTACAGAGACCCCTCTGCCTACAACACAGCTTCAAGAGGACAAAAAACAAGATCCCCATTCTTCTATCCCTCCCAACTCCCTTAACGCCATTTCTCTGCTCTCCCTCGCCCCCACCCCCACCCAATGCCCTCCCAGGAGACCCGTGGTTTTGCAAAACCCGTTTAAGAAGCAGGACACCTGAATGGTGACCTCACCCCTTGGTGAACACACACAGTAGCCTTCAGAGCCCGCCTGCCAGCGACAGCCAGGTGTTTGATGTAGGGCAAGAGAAAGACATGCTCAGAGCCACAGGTAACATCCCCGCGGAGCATCTGAACTGCAGGGAGCTGCCTGCAAGCTCGGGGAAGGCAGGAGGAAGTGGGAACTGGGAGCGCCTCAAGGAGCAAGACCACCAGGGAGAGGCTTTGGCAACCACAGGGACAATCCATCGTGTTTTTACATAAGGATCTGTTGATCGCAGTAGCTCGCTCTGGGGTTACCGCGGCCTCCCTGTTCCCCCACTCCCGGGCACACACTAACACTGGTTTACTCTGCGCACCCGAGGGAGGGCTCACTCTTTTCTAATTGCAACAGCTTGTCTCTGTTCCATTCCAGGCAGCGTTGGGAGGACCTCTGCCCTCACCTCCTCCCCTAACACCCTGAAGTCAAACATGTGGAAAGCAGACGTCCAGGGGGAGAGATTCTGGGGAAGCTGGACCGCCCTGCCCTGAAAGCCACTGTCAGTCAGCCTTCCCCATTGGACTGGGCAGGGGCTGAGTGAAGCAACTCAGCTCTTTTGTCTCAGTGCCCAGCACTGTGCACACAATCAGAGTCCACAGAGGCAAACTCTCCCAGAAGAGACCTGGTTTCTACCCTTGGCTGTGTGACCTTGGGCATGTCGCTGGCCCTCTCTGGGCCTCAGTTTCTGCATCTATAACCCTGGTTCCAGGCGTCTCTCCTCCTATTACTGCTCGGCATTAGCCGAATGGGTCCCAGTGCCAGTCTGAGAGGCCTGAGCCCGCAGTTTGGGGAGAGCAGCGGTGGGGAGCGGGGGTGCTTACCTGACCAGGCGCAGGACGCGGCGAGCAGCAGGCAGAGGAGCGGCCCGAGGCGGCCGGGGGCCGGGCCGGCGGGCTCCATGGGCCGCGGCTGCGGAGCGAGGAGGGAGAGCGGCCGTGAGTGCGCGCTCGGGCGGGAGAAGGCTGGAGCGGGGAAATGACTAAGGCTCCCCCTCTTCCCCCTCCCGGCTGGGCCTCCCCCCCGACTCCGGAACGGGCGCCTGGAGCGGCTTAGGAGCCACCGTCACCGCCGCGATTTTTGGAGAGCCCCCCCTCCCCGTCCCCCAGGAGAAATCGAGAGACGGAGACGGGAGGAGACCCCAAGCGCGCGAGAAATAAAGCCAGGGGTGGCCAGAGAGAGGCGGCAGGAGAGAGAAACAGACCCAAGGGAGCCAGGCAGAGAGCCAGAGACACAGAGAGGCGAGAGGGGGAGAAAGAGGGGGAGAGCGAGCGAGCGAGCGAGGAGTGAGCGAGGCGGCGCGCAGACCGAGACACACAGCGCGGGAGAGAGGACCGCGCGGGCAGGGACGAGGGGCAGCACGGCCGAGCCCGGCCGCGCGGAGCCGCCCCCGCCGCTGCCCACCTGCCCCGCCCGGGATCCTCGCGGCGCGGGCGGCTGGGCTCGCTCCCGGCCCGCAGTTGCGACCGCTGCCCCCGCCCTCCTGGCAGCCCAGCCCCCTCCCTCCTTCTTTCCCCCCTCCTCCTGTCTTCTCGCCGCCCGGGGAGGCTTCGGGGCTCCGGCCCCGCCGGCACCTTCTCGGCGAGCGAGCGCCCGCCTGCGCGTCCGCCAGCAGCGCGTCCCAGGGGAGGGAGCGAGGGCTGCGCGCTGCGCGCCGGGCCGGGGAGGGCAGCGTCGCCCCCCGCGCGGGCCCCCGACTGCTGCCCGGGGAGGCGGTCTCGCGAGCCGCCGCAGGCCGCTCGGGCTCGGGACCAGACGAGCCTCCGGCTCAGACAATGTGCCAGTTCAGGAGCCCGCGCGGCTCGTCCCCGGCCCAGACCGGTCCCACTCTGCCCCTCCCTGTCCCTGCCAGGCTCGGACCTGCGCGGCCCGCGAGGGCTGGAAGGCACTGGGAGCGCCGCCGGGGCTGCCCAGAGGCCGGGTCCCTGCTCCACTTTGCGCAAACTTGTTTTTCTAAGGTCGGCGCGGCGAGCTGGCTACATCGTCTTCTTAAGGTGGACTGGCGAAGTTGCGGCCGACCTCCCTTCGCCTCCGGACTCCGGCCGCGCGGCTAGTCCCCGCTGCCCGCTGGCGAGAGGCTGGAGGCGGCGAAGGAGTCGGGGAGTGAGGCGCGGGGGTGGGGGGTGCCTGCCTTTGCCCCTCCACAAGAGGCCGTGCCCCTGAGCCCAAAGCTGGACGCCCCTCTTGGGGGTGGGTGCGGGCCGAAGGGGCCCCGATCCTTTCAGAGCCCGGCCGAGGTGAAGGAAAAGGAGGAAGTAAGTGAACGCAGGGGGAAGGGGAGAGGAAGAAGAGAGCGATGGTCCAAAAATAGCGTGTGTGTAGGAAGGACTTCGGTGCCGCCTGGAAAAGAGGCGCGGGGAGGAGAGGGAGCGAGAAGGGGGCTGTGGCGGGGAACCGGAGAGGAAGGGCCGGGGGGCCTTCCCGGGGAGGTGGGAGCGCCCGGCCGGGTGTCCCGGTGATGGAGGGCAGATTGAGGGAGTGGGGAGGCCCAGGCCGGGGCGTGTGCAGGAGAGCCGGCCCTGAAGGCCTGGCTTCCAGGAGGACAGGCCCTGAGGAAGAGGAGGGGAAGCGGAGCGGAGGCCAGTGGCCTGGAGTTGGAGAGGACAGAACCTCGGTTTTCCTGGAGGCAACACCGGGCCCGTAGCAGCCAGGTCAGTGACAGGGAGTGCCAGGGTCGTGGTCACCTGGCAGAAGGCTCCGCACTATGGGAGGAACACAAGTTGAAGACCCGCTGCGGATGGGAGGGAATTCTGCTGTCCACAGTGGCAGTTAAGAGGATACGAATGATGCAAGGTGGGAGAAGGCTCAGCCCTGGAAATAGACAGAAAGTGGAGGCCCAGAGAGGGAGTAGGTTTGCTTAAGACTACACTGCAAGGCCTGGGGTGGAAACAAGATTTGAATTTCTGATTCCCAGGCTAAAGACCTATGCAAAGTAACACCACCACCTCCCCACCTGCCCCAAGTCTTTTGCTTAAATGCCTGGTCCTGATGTTGTGCTAAGACAGCGGGGCAGGGAGAGTGCCACACTTGAGACCATGGACTGAACTCCCTGGGTTCAAATCCCGTGGCTACTGTTATGAGCTGTGTGGACTTGGAAAAATACCTTACCTCTTCTGTGCCTCAGCTTCATCTGAAACGAGGCCAGCATGAGTATCAATTGTGAGCATGAGATGGGTTAATATTTGTAAGACATGTTAAAAGAGCCTAGCACATACCAAGCGCAACATAAGCATTTGATAAATAAGTGAAGTGTTTGACAACAATCCTTGAGAACCCACAGGGATTGGGGCAGCATTTGAAGTGCAAGGGAATTTTCATTTCTTTGGGTGTGGGAGAGCACGACAGTGACCCACACAAGGTCCCTGTCCATGAGGAATTTATATTCTAGTAGTGGAGACAGATAAGTGGACAGGTAGAAATAATTAATGAACAGCAGAAGATTGAATTTAGAGAGGGAGAGGGGTGAGTGTACTTAGATAAGAGGACCAGTAAGACCTCCCTGAGACATGAGTTGCTGAATCACAACAAGGGTCAGCAAGGCGAAGATCTGGGGAGAAAGGTGTTCCAGGAAGAGGGCCCAGGACAGGGGAAGGCCCCAGGTGGCTAGGCCCCAGAGCACAACATAGAGGACGGAAGATGGTGGGATGGTGTCCAAGGCTTGGGTGAAGAGCCTTCGTTTATTCTGCAGTTGGGAGACCCTTAGAGGATTTCAGCAGGGGAGGGCCATGTCTGATTTATGTGCCTAAAAGGCCACTCTGCAAACATAGGACTGGAGAGAGGGAAGCGTGGAATTGGGCACCAATGAGAAAGGAGATTGTTCTGGGTTATCCTGGTATCTGAGGTGGGGGCAGGGAAGGTCTCCAACTCTTCAGGCCGCATCTGGTCGAGACCATGAAGGTGACCAGGGAGGCTCCTGGGAAAATCTGTCACCAGACTCCATCTGGGGTAGGAGTGGAGATGGGGGCTGCTGATGAGATCAGAGAAGAGGCAGCTTCCTGCCCTGGACTTCCAGAAGGCTCTGCTGTTCACTGTTCCCCAAGACACACACGCACTCACAAACCTGCCTAGGGATTAGGAAACTGGGGATTAGGGAAGGATAATAATTGAACCACCTGCTATTTATATATAGCACCTTTGGCAAAGGCGCTCAGCAGGGCTTCCCTACTCGGGGGCTTTTCATCCACACCTCTCCCCCAGAACAGGGCCCTGACCCTTGTTCTCTGTCCACATAAAAATCATCCTTGGCCAACCTCAAGCCTGAAAAGCCCTTGAGACCCACGGGTCATGGGTAAACTGAGGCGAAGTGCAACTTGTCTGGGGCCAGAGATTATGGCAGATAATTGACATGAATCAGCCACCCCCACAGCAGGAGGTCTGGGCTGCCCTGTGTTAAAATCTAACTACCTTCATACATATTTGTTCATGCACTCAACAATATTTATTAAGCATCTGCTGGGTGCCAGCCACTGGGAATGCAACAGTTGGAAAACAGATAAAAAAAATCCCTGCCCTCAAGGAACTGACGTTCTGTTGGGAGGAAAGGAACCAATAAGTACGTGAAATGGGACAGGTGCTGCGGGGTGGGGGGAATTAGCCAGGGAAGGGGCCCAGGTGTGCTGATGAGAGAGCTAGAGTGCAATTTTGAAAACGGATCAAGGAACGTCTCACCCAGGAGGTGAGATGGGAAGCCAGGGATGGCTGCGTCCCTGCGTTTGCTGCTTGACTCTTCCTCTCACTCCTAGAGGGCACAATCTGTCAGCCAATCCTGCCTGCTGGGCCTTCCTATCACATCCAGAGCCAAACCACTTCTCAGCACCTCTGCTGCTCCCGCCCTTGTCTGAGCCTCCACCGCTCTCACCTGGTGCCCTATTTCCACCTGGTGCCTTCTGTCTATTCCTCACTCAGCAGCCCGTGGAATCCTTGCACAGAAGTCAGATCACATTCCTTCCCTGTCGTCAAAGGAAGAAATGAGCACAAGGAGGAGAAGATCAGGGGCTCGGAAGCCAAGATTTTGCCAATTTGACTTATGCAAAAAAAAAAATGTTTGAGCCTCAATCTTTTCATCTGTGAAATAGGAATAACAAACTCTGATACGAGGGGTCAATAGTGACGAGGATGTGAAAGCAGCCGTGATGTCATGGTGGGGCCTCTCTGGAGGTCGGCCTAGGCCTTTGGCACCCTCGTGTTCTAGGCCCTTTGAGATACGTTATCTTACTGAAGCCTCAGCAACTCCGGGGGTTCCCAGAGGTGAGGAAACACGTCCAGAGATGGCACGACTTGACCAGGGCCACCCTGTGGGGCATGCTGGCACCTGCACAGCCCAGTTCCACCTGCCCACGCTCTGCTCCCCACTTCCCACAACCCTGGGCTGGCGTCAGCAGGCAGGCCTGCCAGACTGCCTTTGTGTGGGGCCGGTCAGGAGGCTGGAGTTGCCAACGACCTATTTTTCTGGGCAAGAAGAGCCATTTGGAGTTAGAGGTCTCAGCTGTGGAGCCAGAACAGTTAAAAAAAACAGCATGGACTCCTGGGCAGCCTGGACCAGGGAACCAACTGGCCCAAGCGGAGCTGTTGAGCAGGCTGGAGAGCAGGCGGGGCTTCGGGGACAGGAGGTGGGAGTGGCCTTACTGAGCCCCTGCTACATCCAGTAGGGGTAATCTCAGTTGTGTGTGTGTGTTTTTTTTTTTTTTTTGAGATGGAGTCTTGCTCTGTTGCTCAGGCTGGAGTGCAATGGCGTGATCTCGGCTCACTGCAACCTCTGCCTCCAGGGTTCAAGCAATTCTCCTGCCTCAGCCTCCTGAGTAGCTGGGACTACAGGCAACTACCATGCCGCCCTGCTGATGTGTTGTATTTTTAGTAAAGACAGGTTTCATCGTGTTAGCCAGGATGGTCTCGATCTCCTGACTTTGTGATCCGCCTGCCTCAGCCTCCCAAAGTGCTGGGATTACAGGCTTGAGCCACTGTGCCCAGCCTGAACTCAGTTTTCCAAACAATAACAATTCCCATCTGTTTGGCATCTACTATACGTTACAGACTTGTGACATTCATACCACACCTGGGAGGGGGAGCTAATAATTCCCTCATTTTACAGATGAGGCAGCTGAGACGTCAGGAGGCCTCTGCTCACACGCCACCTCCTGGAGAGGCCTTGCCAGACCACCCTGTTAGGCACCCCCACCCCTGCCCAGCATGCCCCACCCTCTCCCCAAATTTATCTCCATAGCCTGTATCACAACCTGCTAATGTTGTGTGTCTCATTGCGTTCTGTTTGTCTCCCTAACTAGCTCCAGGTCAGTTTATCCTAGGGACTTGCACTCCAGTGATCTCTCAGACTAGCCGCCCAGGGCAAGTTATTTTGATGGTCTGCTCTTCCTTTGGGCTAATGATAGGACCCTACCTGAGAGGTTTCTTCTAAGGGTTACATGAGTTATTATAGGTTAAGTGTTGGCCACTGCCATTGTTTTGTCCTAGAGCTGCAGCCCCAGGTCTTCAACAGTAAACAGGTTGTCGATAAATACGTATTAAATTTAAAAAGTGGGCTGGGCATGGCGGCTCGCACTTGTAATCCCAGCACTTTGGGAGGCAGAGATGGGAGGATTGCTTGAGCCCAGGAGTTCCAGGCTGCAGTGACCTATGATTGCTCCACTGCACTCCAGGCTGGGCAACAGAGCAAGACCCTGTCTCTAAAATCATAATAATAATACATTAAAATAATGAGTAAGTAAATGAAGTGCTCTGCTCACGATCCGATCGCAGGATAGGGAGTTGGCACAGCCTGGATTTGAAGGTGCGTCTCTGAGCCTGCGCTTCTATCTATCCCACTTCAAAATCGCCTCTCCACAGGCCTCCCTCTAACCACAGCTGCACAGGAATCAGACTGGTTCTACAACTTGAGCCGACAGCAGTAGCCCCGGAGGGATCATGAAAACACTGATTCCACGGCCCTAGCCATGGAGTATCTGATTCAGTTGGTCTTAGGTAAGGTCTGAGAATTTGCATTTCTAACAGGGTCCCAGGTGACATTGACGCTGCTGATTCAGGGATCACACTTTGACTGCCATTCAAGCCAAGGTGAGACTCCTTTGTAAGCCCAGCCCCAGTTTCCCTGTTGGTTGGGGATCTGTCCATCCCTCTGGTTTCTGTCCAACCCTTATGGGAAAGGCAAAGGGCAGGACAGCCATGTGCTCAGAGATTGCAGCCAGTGCTCTGAAGCCGAGGGGCTGTGACAGATCACCAAGCCAGGGCCAGAGGGAGCCTTACTGTAATTACTGCTTTCCTGGGGAAGTCAGCAATTGAGCAACTTGGCAGTGAGGCAGCTCACGGGAGCCCATCAGGGGTGGGACCACACTGTCAGGCCCTAAACACTGTTCTCAGGCTCTGGGGATGTGGCTCCACCCAGAACCGAGCCCAGCTGTGCTGAGCTGAGAGGAGCCCTCCCCAGCACCTCTGTACCGGTGGTGCTGGAGGAGCAGAAAGCTGATTGCCTCAGCCATCACTGAGAGAGCTGGGTTTGAGTGCTGACTCTCCCTAATAGTACTAATCACAGCTAAACATAGGAGCACATACTAAGACCCAGGCCTGAAGGGTTTCAGCACGTTCTCTCATGATGCCTCCCTGTGATTCTCTTATGTGGACACAATTCTTACCCACATTTCACAGACGAGAAAATTGAGGCACAGAGAGCTTAAGCAGCTTGTTCAAGAGCACACACTTTGAGAGCTCCAGAGCCAGGCTTTGAATCCAGGAGCTCTCATTCCCTAGCCCCTGCTCCCGACTGCTACACATGCTGACTTATACTTGCTTAGGATGAGCTTGGGATGCCCCATGGTGCCCTCTCTGGGTCTCCATCACCACTGAGGTGCTGGCTTGATGATTTCCAGGTCCGTCTGTGGTGCCCAGTACTGGGCCTGCTGACAGGCCTTAGACACACAAGGATCTGGTGGAGGAAATCAGGAAATGAACAGAGGACCCTAACTCCAGTTCTGATGGGACAATATATAGCTCAGTGGCTAAGAGATACGCATGCGATTCCAGGCTCTCCCCTTCACTATCTGTGTGATCTCGAGGGAGTCTCAGCCTCAGTTTTCTCCTCTGAAAATAGATGAGGGCAGGATTAATGCATAAAAAGGAGAGTGAGAGACAGAGACAGACAGAAAATACGCACCAAGGCATGGCAGCTGAGAGTGATATTTGCTGCCTGCTCCATCTCATTCTGTTCATGCAGTTTCTCAGGCACCTTGGTGCCCTCCTTCACTCACCTTTTTCTCTTCCTTCCCTGCCAGCCAATCCTCTTGGCTCTACCTTCAAAATAAACCGAGAATCCAACCACTTCTTCCCACCTGCATCAGAGTCTGGCCTCAGCACTTTCATTTCTCACCTGGATTAGTGCAGTCACCTCCTTACTGGCCCCCAGCTTCCTCCCTGGACTCCCCACCTTGTTGCTTCTTCAGTCAAAGCCTCCCAATAGCCTTCCATGCCTTCTCTTGGAGTAAAACCTGAAGTTCTCAATGCTGCTTAAAGAGCCCCACGTGATCCCCCCTTCACTGACCTGGTCTCCCCACACTCTCCCGCTTGCTCGCTCCACTCCAGTCAACTCACCATCTCAGTATCCCTTAACATACCCAGCAGGTGCCTTCCTCAGGGCCTTTGCACGGGCTGTTCCCTGTGCCTAAAACGATCTTTCCCAGCTAGCTGCCTAGTTTGCCCCTGACCCTTCCTTAGGGTCTCTGCTCAGATGTCACCTCTGCAGAAAAGCATGTCCCGACCACTCAGCTAAAACTGTCCCATCACTGCCTCTTCCCTACTCCGCTTATTGTTGGATAGCATTTGCATTTCTTGACAGCATATCAGTGTTATACACTGATGGTTGCGTGGCTATCTCCCACTCATTTTTGAGATCCATGTGAGGTCTTTGCCCCTGTTCCCCAGCACCGGGAGCTGAGCCCACACAGAGTAGGGCCTCAGGTAAAAACTGCCGGTAGAGTGAAAGGAGGAGCGGAAAGCAGGAAACCTGAAGCAGGCTGCAGCTCTGTCCCTGAGGACACTGGCGGCTGCACCCAGGGGCTCAGGCTCCACCACCCCGAGGGCCTGGCTTGGCCTGGGTTTCCTGGAGGAACAGTTGTCCTCGTTGAACTCCCAGCTGCCTTCCCAGGCAGGGAAGCCAAGACTCTGGTTGGCCTCATTCCTGTACCGGAGAGAGGAAGTGTCTGTCCTTGGGCAGGAACTGGCTTGGCTCTCAGGGAAAGCCTAAACGACACATATACCACTTGCTCTGCTGCTGCAGCTTCTGATCAGGATCATGGCCTCTGTGGAGCAGGTGGCCACACCAGCCTTCATGCTGCCACTGGAGCAAGGAGGGAAGTGGGTTGGGAAGCCTCCCAGAGCCCTTTGGCCTGTACCTGACAGGAGCCTCATAGCTATGCCGTACCCATTGTACAGATGAGTAAACAGCGGCTCTACCTGATTGATATACTGGGTTAGTGGCACAGCAAGGCCATAAACCCATATTCTTTTGATAGCAAATCCCTTAGTCCTCCTCATCACTCCCAATGCACACCCTGCCGCCCCAGTGCCTGCCACCCTGGGCTGGTTCATGCCTGAAATTCCACCGTGACAGTTTTCTTTCTCACTGAGTCTCATTCCCTCTTCAGCAAAAAAGGTGGTAACTATCCCCATGGAATAGGTGAGGAGACTGAGGCACAGAGAGGGAGATGTGTGGCTGGAGCTCTCACGGCCTGTAGGCATGACAAGCCAAGTTAGAAAATATTAGTCTGTTTGTCCTCTTTATGTTTTTTTTCCTCAGCTTCAAGCAAATAGTTGGGCTTAGTAAACAGGTGCTGCAGGGATTTAGGCAGAAAAATGAAGGCCCCTTAGTCTTTAGTAACGTCTAAAACCAAAGAGATTCCCTGGAAGGACTGGGAGAGGTTGGGGGCAAGCACATTAGAGGAGCTAGAAGAAGTCAGGCTGTCAGGGGGTGCCGCCGCCACCCCAGCAGGACTGGGGGTGGGGGGAGGACAAGGCCTCATGGTGGATCCAGAAAGCCATACCTGGGTCTTAAGGCCTCTGCCCTCACGGAAGACCCCACAGCCCCACAGGGTGGCTGAGATGGGAGTCCACTAGGGTGGGACAACGGGCACAGCCTCCATCAGTCAACAGATGTTTACTGAGCACCTTCTATGGGCTCTGCTGGATTCTGGAAATGAGATGGTCACAGTTCTCGCACTCAGCATTCACATTCTAGTGGGGGAATGGAAAGATAAATGCATGAGTTGCGGGAGGGGATGCTATTCTATGCATGAGAAGTCTCACTCAGTATCGGGTCCAACCCAAAGACCCTGACCCAGTGACAGATGAACAAATGTACTCAGACACAGATAGCCAGTGAGAGAGTGGGCTAGGGGTCCGGGCCACTCACAGATACCGAGGAGAGTTCTGTAAAGTCAGCAGTGGCGGTCCCCACAAGCCAGCCCCATGGGCCTTTATTTAGACAGGTTTAATGGCAAAGCTCTAAAGTAAACGCCATTTGTGGGTGATTATCTTTGCCAACCCCCTCTCCCCCCAAGTATAAAACACTTTTGCCTGTAGATAGTCAAAGGCTGGTTTCAGGGAAACAGATAAGCCAATCTAGATCAAACTATTCTGGATACCTTCCTTTGCTCTCCCTTGTAACTTGCCCTACTCCCTAGCCCTGAGATAAGAGCATGGCTGCCTTCAGCCATAAACGTCTTCCCGAGGCTTTTGTAAAACCTTCCGGCCTTCCAAGAAGTTTGTGTCCATTTTACATTTTCCCCACCACCCTGGCTGAACTCCTACAACTCAGGGAGTGGAGTTTCCTACAGAAAGCATGGAGAGCCATAGGAACACTAGGTGAAAGGAACGGCCAGGGCAAAGACCCTGGAATGGCAAGTTCAAGGGCAGCTAGGCAGCCGGGCACCCAGGAAACTAGCCAGGAGTGAGGCAGGAGATGAGGTTGGAGAGGAAGCAGGGCCCAGTCTGCTGGGCCGAGCAGGCCAAGGTGAGGCCTTCAGCTTTTACTCAGAGCCAGATGGGAGCCGCAAACGAGCAGTGTGGACAGATTCCTGGAAGCCACCTCAAATGCCCGGAGACTCTCTAAGACCCTGGAACTGGGCAGGCTCTGGAAAGGAGGGAGCCTCAAGAATGACCAAGGTTGGGCTTCCCCATCATCCCCATGGGATACATTCATAGACCAGGTGAATTTAAGTAATTCAGGGCTTCTCAAACTTTATTCTTGTTAAATGCAGATTCTGACTTGGTTTGGAGTGGGGCCAAGATTCTGCATTTCTAGCAAGCTTTCAGGGGAGGCTGAAGCTGCTGGTCCCTGGACTGTACTTTGAGAAGCTAAGATTTAAAGGAAAGAAATGGCCACATCCGGCCCAGCTGTGCCTGTGGTTGGAGAATCACACCTGCTGTTTGGCTTGAGGCCATGATTCAGGGCTCTTGACGAACTGTGCTGCCCTCCACTCAGCCTGTTGCCTACAAAATCCCAATGGCTCCATGCTCGCTGCATGATGTGGAAGTGGTCAGTGTGGGCAGCGGGCTCCAGAGCCGCTTACTTGGGTCCAGATTCCAGCCCTGGCAGCTACAGGTGGCAAGACTGGGGGAAAGGAATTTTTATTTGTCTTGTCATTTAGTTTCTCATCTGCAAAATGGAAAAATCATGATACCTTCTTTACAGAGCTATTTTGAAGATTCAAAGGAAAATATTTATCAAAGTCTAGCACACAGGAGGGACTTAATAAATGTTATATCACTTTCCCTTCAGTTCT